TCAGTTCTGCGTTATTTAACTGTGGCTCTGTATTCCCTCCCACCTTCCCCTGTATTAAACCTTTGGCAAAAGGTAAGATGAGACAGAATAAAATATGCCTCACTAAAACAAGTTCTCTATCTAAAGTCATATTGTGTAAATGACTTGTTTATTGTATTAAAATCTGGTTTTTCAGTTCTTCCTGCTACCATTTCTTGTCAACTGCAATAAGAAGGCACACTTGCGAAGGTGTAATAAACTGGTGAGGAGGAGAAACTTGGGCCCAATAAATTCTATGTGCTTTCTCCTTATCGAACTTAATTTAGATTTAATTGATAGCAAACAAAATGAACAGATTTTGTGGCATACTGTGATGACTTAGACAATGCAACTTCATACAGAAATATTGTTTCTAAGAATATTTATGGCAGGTTTCTTGACCTGCTGCTTCCTCTTCTCCTACTTAATAGTGGAGGAGCTGCATACTGAAAAAGCAACTTAAAAAGAAAATTATACAGGTGTCTAAGATGTCTGCTCTGCAAAGCATGCAGTTATTTCTGGGGGAAATAAGGCCTGATGGCCACACAAATATATCATAAGATTGAGAAAAGTAACTTGTGTAACTACAGTCTTCTAGTATGGCTGGATGAGTTGGATGTTTTAGGAGTAAGTTGCTGGAGAGCAATGTTGTTTACAGGAAGACTTCTCCTGCTGCACCCAGGGCTGCTTGCACTAAATGCCTGTTGCCTCATGTGCCTCAGATTATTTCAGTAAACTAATAACTTTATTAGGAAGGGGAATGGGGACAGTACTGAGGTCCCAGGCAGCCATTCAGATCTTGGGTAAAACAAGAGAGGTGAATTATTACAGTGGGCAGGTGCCTACGCTTGACCAGGACCTTGGCAAATCCTACCTTTTCCCCCCAGCAGTCTAAACAGTCTCTCTGGACTTGGGATGCCAACTCTTGCCCCTCAGCTGCTGAACTGTATCTGCATCCTGCTCTCCTGTGATTGAGTAGCAAGGGAGAGGACTTGGGGTAGAAAGTAAGGCCCATAAATAGTCTTTTATTTTGGGTTTCCCAGATCAGTGCTAACAAACTTGCATGTCTATCTGCCATACAACTGAGAAGTTGTATGACCTACCTGATGAAGCAGAACTGTGTAAAAGCTGTTGTCATGGCTTATTTTCTGCTCAGGGAGGCTGTTTTGCATGAGGTGGGGTAGCTGTAGCAGACTGCCTCAGTACCTCTGAAGGATGATCTTGAAGTGTTACCCAGTCAGCAGTTTCCCGTGGCACTTCCCTGGAGCGCAAAAAATTGTTTCTGGGTAGAAGCAAACATTGCCTGGCTTTCAAGGTTTCCTGTATGGTACGGCAGTTTAACACTGGCAATGCAGTCCGTTGGGCAAAGGGGAATTGTTTCACACTAGAAGAATTAAAGCTTAGAGCAGCAGAGTTTAATTATGTATTGTCATTCACATTGAGCGTTTGATTCCTGTAAGATTGAGGAGGTGAGAAGCATCAGAGGGCAGACTTTGGCTAAATGCTGCCTGCATCTGCACGGGACAGGTCAACTTTCCTTCTGGATGTTTCTGGACCCTTTCGATCTACGGTGATGCTAGTCAGATGCAGCGAGTAGCTGTTTCCAGACTTTGGCATGGGACTGAGGGGAAGGGGGTTTGCCTTTGGAGCTTGTGCATTTGCTGTTTCAAGCCTTCTGGGTGCAAGTGTCTGCACAAGCTTGCTCCGTCAAACGGCTGAAAATGGAATAAACAACTTCTTTGAAGAAAGAGCTGTCCTCACAGTTTGGAGGTTTTGGATGTGGGTGGGTGGTCTTCCAGCTTTTTTCAGGAGCTCCTAAAAGCATATTTCAGGGCTCTTTAAGTGCTACAGGGGCAGGAATCTTTCTTATTTGTACAGACTGCAGTCTTCAGCACTTGGATCTTGGCTGCCTGCCTTGCACTGGAGCGTGTTGCAGGTGGGCAAGTATTTGGTGGTGTCATCTGGGCTCAACGGCTTGGCAGGGCTCAGAGTAACAGTGGGAGGGAGGGAGTTTGGGGGAAGCTTGGAGCCCTCTGGGATGCTGCAAGCACTCAGGATAGCCAGCCACTTTTTATTTTACACAGGTGCTGAAGTGTTTGAAGGACCAAGATGTTACCAATTCATCAACCTCCAAGGAGTTCAAGTTGTACTAAGTAAAGGCAGAAAAATCCTGAGCCCTTATCTGTCTTGATGACAGCCACAAAATGGACTTGTGGACTTGCAAATAGTGTAGGGGTGGGTGACAGTTGCAGCTCTAATTCTTTTTAGGTGTTGGGGATGTCAACAGAAAATTTTGCTGCAGGTGTGCACATATGAAGCAATGCAGGTTTAAGAGCAAAATAGCACATGGAAAGAACTGTAATATTGTCAAGACTACTTTGGTTTTATGTACTGAAAACCACAAAAATTGTTCATTATCTTGTAAAGGACACTGAAGTTTTCTATGTACCTCTTCTGTACTCAGCCTGAGCTGTCACGTTTCTGTCTTTGCTACATTGGTGACAGTCTGCAAAATCCCCATTGAAGGCTACTGTGCAGGCACAAATGCAGGAGAGAGAACATGCTTGTAAGTGTTACTCAGGGGAAAAAAGCCCAAATCCAAACAACAAAAAAACTCTACCAGCTTGTTACCTGTTTTAACAATTTTTCATGGAACAACTTAGGCTGAGTGTAAGATAGGGTTTTCTCTAAACCTCTCTTGTGTCTTGCCTCAGCTGCACGTAGCTGGTAAGACAAAGACTTAGTGGAGTTTATGAAACTTTAGTGGCATGAATCCTGCTGTCACTACAAGTGCATTAAACATTATTTCTCATTGATCTACATCAATTTAAATACTTGTTTGCAGAGGATTTAGATGCTGTGTTCTCTGAATCTGACTGAACTATTGTAATATGTACTTACCAAGGCTTTGCACAGCCGTGAGGCTTAACTTATATGATGGCTTCTGAAGGAGAAAAAGGGGTTTACTTTCTTAAGTAGCTTGACTGTGAGGAAGGCAGAGTCGTCTAATAATGTCTCAGCAGCTGCTATCCCATTACAAGTACTTTAAAAATGCACGCATGTGTTCTACAGCAGTTACATGGTTGGAAAGGACGCTCTGAGAGACTTCAATATTGTTCTTCTCTTCCAGTTCCTCACTTGGGCAGTGAAGACATGACAGCAATGGCAGAGCTTCCTTTTGTCAAAGCTGATGTCAGAGAGATATTTGAAAGTAAGTTCCCTGCTGTTGCAGGATAAAGAAATATGTTAGATTCTGCCCTTCATTAAGGATCATCTACTAGCTGGTCAGGGACTCAGCATATCCCTGATTAAACACTCCTCCAGAAGGACAAAATCTTCTGTTGGAGCCCAGGCACAAACATCATGAGTAATAGCTGATTTTATAATTAGTTTATGACCACAGTACTTCATGTCCAGAGGTAGGATCTGTCTATTTCCATAAGCATTTATCTCTTGCATTTTAAAAAGTCTTCATTAGTCTCTTTCTAAGGCGTTGGATTTGACATGCGGTCAACAAAATTTTTAAAGTGTAATTGAACACAAGAAATGGAGATATGATTAGTGAAATTGCATATGAAATATATGCAAGCATTCAAATCTGCTTTTTAAAACTAGCCCTTTTTGTGGAACAACACCCCCGCATCTGTTTTCTTGAAAGAAAGTATAATAGTCTTCATATGAATTCATGGTAAGCTTCTTAAGGTTCTCATCTTTAGCCCACTACAAAAATAAGTTGGGTTTTTTCATATAGGGAGAAAGCTGTACTGCCTGTGGCTTGGATTGCCCAATACTAAAATATTTAGGTTGTGTATAAATTTTTTAGGCTTTGTCTATTTAATTTTTACTTTTTCATGGATGTGGGTTTTGTGGGCATAGGGAGGGATCTAGTTTTCCTGCAAATTTCCAATAAATATTTTGGTTGTCTTAGAGAGCAGATGTAAGCAAATATATTTTTCATATATTTTTGTAGTTTCAGGGGGAAAAACTCAGTGTTGACATGACTTGGAAATACTTGAAGTTAAGGCAGGTCATAGTCTGGAGTCTGAAGCGTTTTTCCCCATACAGACGAATCCTGTTTAGTCTGTAGAATTGCTTAGATGTCTTCTTTAAAACATGGCGCTTCAGTGCAGTTGGATCTACTACATCTGGAGAGCTGCACTGACTGATGAAGAAATATCCTTGGTTCTCTGGGCTTCTGTGGGGCTTTCCTCTGAAACAAGCAGGAAAAAAAAAATCCCTTTGGGCTTTCGGTGCCTTCTCTGCTTGTATCCAAACAGTATGGATGAGAAAGGCATCTTCTCTGCAACTTCATTGCAGAGGAGAGGGAAATGAGATAGGATGAAAGGAAGATGTTAAGATAAAGGAGGACATGGCAGGAGTTTGGGGTAGAAAAAACAATTTTGTGTACTTGGGACAGGAAAAAAGTAGTGTGTGCTGGTCTGATTAGACGGGAACATGTTGCTGTTACAGGAGACCAAAGATTTATTGACAAAGTTGATTCTGGATGTATTCAGCTCTTGAGTTTTTGGCTCAGGTTATTCTCTTAACCTGGATCTCTGTAAGTAACTATCTGTAGGTAACATACCTGCAGCCCTTGAAACGGCTTATGTCTCTACTGCTGCATGCTATGAAATGGTATGTTTGTACCCTAGTGAGACAGGGCAAGGGCAGAAGTCGATGACCACAATATAGTGACTACCTAGAGCACAGAGCACTCTAGAGGCAGTGGTTTAATCTTGAGGCATGTTGTCCAGAGGCTTTTAGATTGAGATATCTGACCTAGTTGAAGCTCCTTGTAGTGAGTCAAACTGCAGAGCTGAACCCAGAGAGAACTATTGTAAAGAGTTCATTCTTTTGATAGCTGTTGGGTTTTTTTTCTTTGTTTTCCAGTTCCTTTAAAAAATTACTTCAAGCCCTGAAGAAAGAGGAGAAGAATCTTGGAAAAACCCCAATTTGGGAGAAGAAAGTTTTGGTGTCGTAGGATGAAGGTGGTAAAACGGGAGTTGTGTAGGAGTAGGCATCAAGACATGGTCCAGGAGCAGGTTCAGGTGGATGAGAGTCCAGAGGGAGCTCAGCAGCTCTGCTCACCAGTACAGATGGGGCAAGGAGGAGACCATCCCTCAGCAGCACAACTGTTGCCCCCTGGTCAGCAAACCCAGGGAAGGGACACTGCCCATGTGCAGCTACAGAGGCAGACAGCACCAGGGGGCATAGCCCCAAACATGGGACTGCAAATGGACCAGGGCTGGGAGGCCCCGGAGGTGACCGTGCAGGTGCGGCCTCAGAAGCTGAGTCAGGGGTGGGAGTCCCCAGAGGTGACCGTGCAGGTGCGGCCTCAGAAGCCAAGCCCAAGATGGGAGGCCCCATCAGTGACCGTGCAGGTGCAGTTACAGCAGCAGGGCCAAGGGCAAGCTCTCCCACAAGTGACCGTCCAGGTACAGCCGCAGGAGCAGCGACAAGGTATGGCTGGCATCAAGGTCACTGTGCAACTGCAGCTGAGCCATGTCCCAGAAGAGGTAACCTGCCCCCAGGATCAAGGTGAGGAAGTGTTAGGGAATGGAGAGCAGCTGACCTCAGAACAAAAGCAGGGAGAGCCAATAGCAAGATCTGAAGGTGAGAGAGAACTGTCTGTAGTGGAGCTGGTGCCACAGGGGGCTCCAAGCCAAAAGCAGGATCAAGGAGGAGAGGTGATAAAACCCCAGCAGGACCAGAGCCAAGAAGAGGAAAAAGCAGAAGTGGTGGAGCTGCAGGTTGGAGACAAATCAGACCTGGATGGGGTGGTGACAGAGGAGCAGCTGCAGGACCAGAGCCAAGAGCAGGAACAGCTAGAAGCAGAACTGCCCCCGCTAAAGGAAGGTCAAAGAGCTACAGAGATGAGGCAGGAGCAAGGTGATGTCCAAGAAGGGTCCAAGGGGATGGTGGAAGACCAGAAGGAAGACCTGGGGCAGGAAGTGTCTAAGAAACGTCCACGAGAGACTCCAAATTATTTTGTTGCTATACCAATAACAGATGATCAGGTATTTTGAATTAGCTGTTCTATCAAAACAATAAAAACCTTAAATAAGCAGCTAAGCATAAGTTTAAAGTTACCTTGGTTTCAAAGCTTGTTAAGAAGCCAAGAGTGATCAAATGCTGCTCCCCTACCTGAAGTGGTCTTTCGGGTCTGGCTGGGATAGTGTTCACTTCCCTATAGGAGCCCTGCTAGCTGCTCTGCTTTGTAGCCAGAACAGTGATAACAGCCCAATGTTTTTAGCTACTGCTAGGAAAAAGAAATAATTTGGAGGATTGTCATTGTCCTTTCTATAAGGGCTGAGCGGATGTGTGTCTCCTCAGTAATATCTTCTATTCTGCAATCTTTCTCCAAACAAAAGCAGTGGCTTTCACCATCTTGCATTGTCCTATCCTATGTTGTCTTACAGCCACGTTTGGTGCAATAGTATTGATTTGTTCATCTCCTTCCCCACTGAAGTTCACAATGGAGGATGAGAATTTACTCCTCTTCTACAGAAGATTCTATAGAATTGATCTATTCTCTCTTCTTCATCCTTTACCCAACAAACTTACCTTGACATCTTAAGTAGACAGTTAATTTCAAGAGGCCGTGTGTGGAGTCTGCATGCTCATACTTCATCCTATAGTCTGTGATTCCCATGTTTGCAGCAGTGTTGAAAAAGCAACAGGTTCTTTCACCTCCATACTGTTAAATCAAAACACAGTGAACAGCAGAAATCCAAATACAAATATTTTCTTCTAGAGGCTTTGTGAGGGCCCTAAAGCATTCCAGTTACCACAGTAAACTTTTTTCTGAAATATGTCAAGATAGCCTTGCAGGGTTTGGATACTACAGGCACTGTCTCTATTCCATGGAAGTAAATTCCAAAAATGATACAGAAGCTGGAGAGACAGATTTCACACTTTGTGCTTTAACTAGGTATGTATGATTTGTTTGAAGCCCCTAACTTCATAACTCTGTCTCTTTGTATTTGTACAAAGAGCTACCTATACCCATTCTGCTGGTACGAATTTTGAGACCCACACAACTTTCTGAAAGAAGGATTCAGAGTGTCTCATTCCCAAAGCAGTGCTGTCGGTACCTTTATGAACAGGGTTTTTTTTACCTTTTAGCCTCCTGTAATCTGATGGCAATGTTTTGTTAGCAGCTGCTCTGCAAAAGCAGACAGAGCCCTCGCTTGGTACCAGCACCCGCTGCACCCCTCTTGGCTAGGACTCTGCTCTTGTTTCTGAAGAGCAGCATCGTGAGGTGGGACATGCTCCATGCTGTGGACCTTGATGTAGGGGCAGCAGGTGACTGTGCACTCAAATGTGTTATGCAGAGAAGAGAAAGAAAAGATTTGGGGTGTAAAGACAAGAAACAGATTATTCTACCTGACAGAGGCAGTCAGGGGGAAAGTCTTAATTTGAATCAGTAACTGCTGTGGCCCAGCCAGCACAGGCAGAGCTGAGAAACAGCGTATGAATTGTGTGGAATTATTAATATTTATAATATATATACATCTTGGGATCTTTTCTTACAAAGCAAATGTAAAAGGCAAAACCTGAATGTTCACTTGTATGAACATAGTGAAAATATAACCCTTGGCTACCAGTTTCTGCTATTAGTTTGTGGTGTTTTTTCCAATGAACTAAATGGATATTGTTTGTTGCAACATATGACTTGATTCCTTTTTTTTTCTAGCCTAGGTTTCCATGCAGTATCTGGCATGACTGTATTTATGCTGCTGAAAGGCAATAATTAAGTCGCGTGGCTGTATCTGCCATATCTGTTGTACATCTTTTTTCCTTTTTTCCAGCGTGACAAGCAGCTGCGGTACAGTAGCTTGCTTTGGCAGGCTTTTGAGTTTTTGTTTTTACCTTAGTTAAGTGTTGAAACTCCTATGTATGTATTAGAGGGAGACGTCAAAGGTGCCTTCCTCTTGGTAGGCAATTATTTGCTCTGGCTTTGTCTTGAGTGGAATAACTTCTGAAGGTTATCTGGAGGATGACCTTATGTAACTTTCGGTCATTCCTACATATGACTGGCTTTTGAGGGGTGAACAAAAGTGCAGAGCACATCAGGAAGATAAATGTCAGGAAGGGAAAATAACCATGTAAGCTGGAAGACAATGTTGGCAGAGGAACAAATGGGTATGAAGTGGGCAAAGAATAAAACTAGGCTGGAAACTAGAAAGTTTCCTGCCATCTGAGGAATGAGATCATGGAACAGCTTGAGGGGACATGAATGCCTAACTTATTCTGCTATTTTAATGAGATTTGAGTGTCCTAATATATGGCCTGTGACCACATCCTGTACAACTCTATGGATGTCCTTCCCCTCTTTCTCCTTGTCCTCTCTCTCAATTCTGCTCTTGCAGATTTCCATGCTCTCACACCACCTCTGGTAATCTGGCAGCTCTGATGTCCCTGGCTGGATGATCTGCCCAAGATAGTCCCTGTTTATGCTCCTCTTAAGTGCTGCCTTTAAGGATGGCAGTGAACTGAGGCAGCCCTTGGTGAGGCTCTCTGAGACAAACATTGAGGAGTACAGTACTGTAGGCCTGGTATGTGTGTATGTGAAGGGTGAGTAAATAAGTGTGTGTATACACATATACATGCACATATATTTTTGTCAACAATTTCAGATGCTTTTACCTCTAAAGCAGAGGTTCCTGACCTCGCTGAACATACAACGTGGTTGCCTGTTACACGGTAGGCCTTGTAGTCTGTTACAGAAGGGTTTTAAAGATGCTGTTAGTTTTTTGGGTAGAATTAATTTCCCTTACTGATATTTTTGAGAGCTCTCCAGAAGACGGGGCCTAGGGCTGTCTCTGTTTTCCTCCCTTTCAACAGGACAAAGGAAAAACCCTGTTGCAGTCCTGATGGGTGCAGCAGCCCTTTTCCCTTTGTGTCTAGCAGGGTTTCAGGAGGCTGGACACGAGCCTCCAGCAACGGGCTTGGGCCGGGGTGGATCTAGGAATGTTGTGGTCTCAGGCTTTCAATACTCCATTAAAAGTGATTCCTTCATGTCCCTCACCCAAATACAACCATCCCAGTAAAAACGTAGCACTTCTCTAGAAATGCTACAGACTCATCCACCAAAAAAAAAAAAAGTGTAGAGATAAGGTAGACTCCTCCCATGGGAGAAGCAATGGAAAATTCTGGACACACTTGTGAAGCTGACAAAAAAGAGTGAGAGAAGACATTAAAATTGCTCTGCAATTGTTAGATATCTACATGAAGCAATTTCACTCAAACTTGGCTTCCCAGCTGTCTGAGACCAGCTGAGGAGGCAAAAGGACCTTCTTCCTTAATTCAAGAGTATTCTTAAAAAGATTGGTCAAGGGAGAGCACTGCTTTGTGGAATTGCTGTCAGTACTTAACCTAGTTCATTAAAGCAATGATTTTTAGTTTGTGTGGTCAGACAACCTGATGGCTTGATTCCTGCTCCATGTTTTCATGATCCAAGCAATTGAGCTGTAAATAGCAGGCCATAAGAAATTGTGCCTCAGTTGCGGTAGGAAATACCTTAACGTGAGAGTCATCTCAGTGATGTGTTTTTCATAGTGACAAATGTACAGTAAGAGGCTGAATTCAGGGAGCTTGTTGTTCATATCTTCAGATGGATTCTCTTAATTGTGTGTGGCTTTATACTGACATTTATCAGTTACTCTAATCTCTTCTGCAGTGCAGGTTGTGGGACTGTTTACTGGACTGCACAATGACCACCAAGGTTTTATGTAGAAAGATTGCAAAACAAAACCATATTGACCTAGTTGTTTCAACCTATGTAAGAATAAAGTGCAGCTCTAACATGTGTGAGCACTTAGGCATGTAAGCCAGAATTTGCTCAGGGAAATAATCTGAAAATCTATAAATGACTTGGCTGTAACAAAGACTTCCACCAGGTGCTTAGTCCCTGTATGATTGAATTCTTCTCCCTCCTGGCTTGTTCCCATGACTGGCTTACAAACCTTTACAGAAAACTTTGAAAAATCTTTCTTCGGAGTCAGTTCTGTAGAGGCACAGATAGACTCTGAAGAGCCAGAAACTGGCCATGCAGTTCTAGAAAATACCAACTCAGGAAAACAGCATGTTTACCCAGTTGATCTAGTTTGTTTGCTGTTGCAGTTTCCTTTTGGGAAGACACATCAGTTTAATCTGTGATCAAACTTGTAATCAGAAAGTGGCATAAGATTAATTATGGAAATGCTATTCAATTTCCACAGTCTATTAGCAACTGACAACTGCATGAAGATACCATTAATATTTACACAGTGCTGTGAGCTTTATTCTAACATGCTTAGGGTCAGATTCAGACCTACTTTAAGATCTAGGCATGTTGGCTCACATGAGAGCTATGAGTTTAGTCTGTAAGCTTTAAAAAGGAAAACAGATCAATTCCTGAAAATAACTTTGAACTTGAAAGTTGTTATATGACAGATCTGGAGGGTTTTATTTTGTGGATTCCTGGCTTAAACTTGAGTTACATTTTTGTGTGTCTAATGCTTCAGCATTCTGAACTCTTCTGGTAGTACCGGGGCACTCAAAAAAGAAAATTTATTTCCCTGTCTCCTGTTTACTGCATTTCAGGTTTTGGACAAAATTGAAGATGTCCAAGAGCTCATATTCACTAAAGAGCCTGACCTGTTGAGAGCTTTTCTTCCTGTTCAAACTATGCATCTTACTATAATAGTAGCTCACCTGGCAACAGAAGAAGAAGTAAAAAAGTAAGAATCCTGCAAAATTCAAGTGCAGCTAATTTTTCTGTAAATGAGGTAGCCTTATTGTGCTGTTGTGAATAATTATGTTTTAGTATAGCCTACACACAATTTCTCTATAGAGAGTTTTTTGATCAGTTTCTGGCTTGTTCTCAATACCTCTGAGGAAAGATCTTTACAAAAGCTAGATGTGATTCTTCAGAGGGTGAAATATTGTGTATCTGCCATGGGGTGAAGAGAAAAAGCAGCATGGCTGCACATAGTATTGCTACTGTGTTACTGTATTACTACCATAAATTAACTCAATGCATGTAAGGTTCCCTTTAGGGAACTTTACAAAGTTCAAAGTACAAAAGGCTGCTGCCTTTTGAGAAACCACAGCATTTCAGATCAGCCATGCTTGTATCAGCTGGAAAATGTTAGCTGATAGGACATGTTACATTGAGAATAAAACAAAAAAAAAATATCTCTAGTGCCTTTACAAGCTGATCTCTTGTCTAATTCAAGCTGTGGGCTTGAACAACTGGGGCCCTGTGAATTAAGATGGGGTTATTGAGAGATGACTAAGGAAAGCTACCCTGCAGTCAGGAAGGCTAGAGATGCTAGAAAGGTCCAGCAAATAGAGCCAGTATGCTGCAGGTTTTTTCTCCAAGCCTTATCCTACTGTACAACACTGGGAAACTTCTTGGCACGAGAGGTCAGGGAGGGAAGGCCCTTAGGTGTCTGGGAAGACATTGCATGATAAAGGTGGGAACCTGGTGAGGGCAGCCCTTTCTCCAGGGCTCTTGGTGCACATCAGCAAGGGAATGAAAACCAGTAAGGCCTCAACATCATACAAGTGTGACACAGGATCTGGTTGGGCATAAAGCAGAATGCCTAGCTGGAAAGATGTCAAAAGAACCAATGAGGAGGAAAAAAACCCAACAAACCTTCTGCCCATACAGGCTGCAACAGTTAAATGGGATTAAGATGCATATGACAGATTTGTATGTGCTTTATTTTAAAATTACCTGCTTTATTGTGCATTCCAGAGGCTTTTTCAGAAAGGGGAAAGGAGCTAGGAGGACTATATGGGCTCAAGAGCCTGCACGCAGAAGACACCATGTACAGTAATTCAGTAAAAAAAACCTGTGCCAGTGCTGCTGACTGGGCAAGCTGTCATCCAAGAGTATAGGAAGCTAGTGGAGAGCAGAAACCAAAGTGGTAATCAATCGGTTAGGGAGGTGAGTGGAGCTAAGTAGTGTTAATGAACTTAAGGGTGGATGTATGCCTGTAATATAAAAATAATGGGCATACCTAATGAAAAGCAGATCTTCCTTGCCAAATGCTTTTCATATTTTATCTTCTACCTACCTACAGAGCTCTACTAAATGAGGCTGTAATTCAATGGCTACTGCTCTGTGCTGTCACATGAAAGACTCCCTTAGGGTGTTAGGCCAAGTATTTCTCACTTCTTAAGCTAACAGCACTGCTGAAACAGCTGGCCCAGCCCCTCACAGAGGGAGGAGGGCATCTTCAGATCTCATGGCAGAAGTTGTTCTGGCAGCATTTAATGGTAGCTTAGACATTATTGACTCAAGCAAGGCTAACCTAGCTGTTCAATTAAGGTGGAAAAATCAAGATCCTCTGTAAAGAATTGATTCCCTCTCCACTTTCAGTACAGTCCTCACCAAATCTTCATCTGCAGAGTCCCCAGGAACCTTAGAAAGAAGCAGCTTCTATGTCATCATAGCTGAAGCAACTCCAATGTAGTAGTGAGGATTGCTTATAATGTTGGCTGAAGTGGCCTTTGTATGCATGAAGCATACTTTCCTGAGGGGATTAGTTTGTGCTATGTGGGTTTTAGAGCCTGGTTTCTGTTTGGATAATGCTACATAACTCTTAGATTTTATTTTTTTTAAACAATAAAATGAATGTAGTCAGAACTTGTTCTAGGTGTAATGATGAAGTTAATGTGGCTACAGGAGCCACAAGAACCCATGGTCTGGAGTCCTGCAATGCTTCTTTATGCAGTATTTTGTTAGAAGTTTGAAGCATTAGTAGAAGGTTTCTGCTCAAACTTGTTTTGAAGACTGTTGGGATCCCCCTTCCTGAGACACCAGGGTAAAGAGGGGCACCTGTAAAACTTCAGCAGGTATTAAAATGCTGGAAGACTTGGTGTCTACATCTAGAAACCTGTTAGTTATACTTTTTCTATGTCTTTAAGGAAAATGGTTGAATTTGAAGTATTAATGTCTTTGGGTAATATTTTTTTGAGCTATTTCTGTGCACAGCAAGGTGCACATCTAAACTTTGTTGAAATGGGACATAAAGATCCCAACATAAGCATCAATTTGATAATTTGTTAGCTGTCCTGGAATAGAAAAATATAATGGAGACAAATGCTAAAAGTGCTTCAGGTGGGAGAATGAATTTATTTTGGTTTAAGACTAAAAGTAGTGAACCAGTTGAAAATGGCAAAAATAAAGTTTTAAACTACATGACACAAATATAAGTTCAGTTTTATCCTTTTTGACTTGTTAGCAGCATATATTTATATAGCTGTTTCTGGCATGTTAATGACTTGAACATTAGTTTATATATTATAACTGAGTTTTGCTAGCAAAGGTTAAAGTTATTGAAAAACATAACATTTAAAATGCATGTGTATATTCTAACTGTTAAAAAAACATTAACACTGAAAACTAGTGTGCTTGTTACACCTTGCATAGCACTGCAGAGTGGTCAAAATCAGGTATATTATCTGCTATTAAAAATATAACAATATTTCCATATGTAATAATCAAATACCCTTTCAGAATAGATCTATTTTTAATTATTTTTTAAGGGCTGTTCTGGCACTGAAGCAAAGCAAGGCTAAAGTGGAAGCCATCTTACAGGGTAAAGACCATATTATGACATTTAATGGGATTGGACAGTTTAACAATCAAGTGATATATGTGAAAATGTCAGAGGAAGACCAGAAAATTCTGAGCAGAATTGCAGGTAAGTACCTAACCTGACTCTACCACTTGTGGTAAACCAGTTTGTAGAGTCTATCAGCTCTGGTAAGTATTGGCCTGAGCTGCACGGCCATGACGTGCTGCCTTTCCTCTTGTCTCCTCTTTTTCTTAATTGTTAAATATGAAGCTGACAACTGGGATCCTGCAGAGCATGAGAGACAAAATAAGTTCTCTGTACTACTTTGGGACAGGTGAGATGCACAGACATTTGACATGTCAAGACTCCACAGCAAGGCTATCCTATTCTGCCCTGCAGTCAGGATCTTGCAGGCCTGTGGTGAACATCGGGTCTTCAAAGCAACACCTCAAAACTGGGTCTGTTCATTCTAATAAACTGGAAGAGTTTTCAGTGTTGGCCCCAGCTGAGTTTACAAGCACTTCCTCTAAATTGGAGCATGTGTGAAATCATGAGTACCTCTGGGGCGGGGGGTGACAAATAGCAGTGTTTGTCTGCGTATGCGTGTGTAGCATCGGCAAACCAGTCGTTTGCTTCCATGGTAGAAGATGAAACAGAAGTATGAGAGTAGCTTGTGTCCTCTGCTCTAACTTGCCAAAGCACTGATGGGTTCATGAAGATGTTCCAGGTCTTTGACCTGCTTACCTGCATCTGAGCACAATTTCAGAAGGCCTTGATATTCTCCCCTTCCCCCCTACCCTGTTCTGTTTTTAGGAGCTGCTTTAGCCTGCAATGCAGAACATAATCTGTGTCCTGGGCTTCCACTCCCAACAGAGCAGAAATAATCAATACACATTTTTTTCCTTGCTATTTTCACACTAAGCAAAAAGGAAGCATAGTTCAACTAATGCTTCTCAAAGGCATGCAGTATAAAGACACTATGTAATCTTCAAAGGACATGACTTTTCAGAATAGTCTGTTTTCTTTCTGATGAAGCTGCTTCTTACCTCCTCCAGTTCTTAGCTTTGATATAATAGTCCGGCTCTCTTCTCCTCCTGCGTATTTTTCTTCTTAAGTAGTCAGTGTTGTAACTAGACAGAACATGCCTCTTGATATGAACAGCTTCTTTGCCTCAGCTAAATAAAGTTAGCCGCTTCACTATCTGTTACCTTTCGCTTGACTCTGGCCTTCATTTCTCTTATTGTTCCAACCACGGCAAAGATAATTTTGAGTTAAAAGAGCTGTGCTTTTGTTGAAAGTACCCTGATGTTGTCCCTACTTACCAGGATTAGAACCTCAACAGACTTCCCTGTGCCCAAATTGTTTCTTCTAAAGTCTAGGTTTAACACTAAATAATTTTGACTGGGAGGTGACTAAGTAGAAGGCACATAATGCAATTTCCTTTAAGATCATATTTGGTACATGCCTCTCCACAACAGGTATATACTTCAAAGCCATTGGAAGAAGGGACTGCTTGACTGTATTGATGTGCCCCCACCTTAGCTCTCTCCTCTCTCACTTCTGAAAGATGCAGAAGTGAATACCTCCTTTCTCTTGTCTGACTACTGCTGTTTTTCCCTGTATTCATTGTTTTGTTTAACTGAGAATTTTATTCCCAGTGAATCATAGCATACGAGATCAACCTTTATCGTGTTATTTTAGCACCAGCAGAAATATTTAATTTTGGTTCTGCAGAATGTGTGCGACGATGCTCTCCTTTAATGATATCAGAGCTGCATTAACTCTAAAAACCATTATGATAGTGGGTGGCAGATCCTTTGTGTTCTCTGCCTGGATAAACCTGCATCTTCACGGTTCTGGAAACCTAGTATCTAGCTTCTGATCTGAACCCCTTAATGAGATGGAGGAGAAAAATTTTGATTGCAAGCTCTAGGAATATTCTGTCAGTACTTGTGTGTTTTTAAATGCAGTATGATTGTTCAATGATTGCCTGAAATAATTACTTGACTGTGAGACAAGCTGACAGTTTTCAAGCTGTTAACTCTGTCACCAATGGCTTTGCTATTCAGGGAGATGTAACTTCCAGTGTTCTCGTTTCTGCCTAACTTCTGACCATTTCTATAACTTACTTGAGCCTGGGATTATGCAAATATGTATCAAAATCTATCATTTAATGACATTTCTGAAGAAATGTTTTTCTGGGTTTTTTTTCCTCTCCCTCAGCATAGCAATTGAATTAATTGTTATACAATGAATAGGGATTTTTTTTTCCTTACCTTTTAGTCAATATTTTTGGTTACTCATGGGGTAGGTGTGGATTTGCAAATGCTGCCTCTTCAAGCAAAGTGATGGGCAAATGATTTGACTGGCAAAGGTCAAGCTTCTCCTGCCAGCTGCCTCTGCCTCATCACGCCCTTATTGATGATTTGTCATCAACAGTTTAACAGTTCATCCTGCTCTAATGAAGTTTTTGAACCTCTTAAGTGTTTCAAGAAGACCTAATATACAGAAATTCTTCATGTTAATGTGTTTTATTTGACAAAGTATCAGAGGCACATTAGGGGTTATTTGATACCTAACCATTATCACCTGGTACTATTAGTTAGATTGGTGACAAGTGGTGTCCCTCAGGGGTCCATATTGGCAGCAGTACTGTTTAATATCTTCATGACATAGTGGGGTCGAGTGCACCCTCAGCAAGTTTGCAGATGACACCAAACTGAGTGGTGCAGTTGACATGCCTGTGGGATGGGATGCCATCCAGAGGGACCCAGACAAGCTTGAGGAATGGGCCTGTGTGAAGCTTATGAGGTTCAACAAGGCCAAGTGCAGGGTCCTGCACCTGGGTTGGGGCAACCCCTGGTACCAGTACAGGCTGGGGGATGAAGGGATTGAAAGCAGCCCTGCCGAGAAGGACTTAGGGGTATTGGTGGATGAAAAGCTGGACATGAACTGGCAATGTGTGCTTGCAGCCCAGAAGGCCAATCACATCCTGAGCCACATCAAAAGCAGCGTGGCCAGCAGGTCGAGGGAGAGGATTTTGCCCCTCTACTCCGCTCTGGTCAGACCCTACCTGGGGTTCCACATCTACCTCTGGAGCCCACAGCACAGGAAAGACATGGACCTGTCCATGGAGCGGGTCCAGAGGAGGATCACAAAAATGATCAGGGGGATGGAACACCTTCTCCTATGAGGACAGGCTGAAAGAGTTGGGGTTGTTCAGCCTGAAGAGAAGGCTCCAGGGAGACCTTATTGCAGCCTTCCGGTACTTAAAGGGGGCCTATAAGAAGGATGGGGACAAACTTTTTAGCAGGGCCTGTTGCGATAGGACAAGGGGTAATGATTTTAAACTAAAGAGGGTAGATTTAGACTCAATATAAGGAAGAAATTTTGCACAATGATGGTGGTGAAACACTGGTCCAGGTTACCCAGAGAGGTGGTAGATGCCCCCTCCCTGGAAACATTCAAGGCCAGGTTGGACGGGGCTCTGAGCAACCTGCTTTAGTTGAAGATGTCCCTGCTCATTGCAGGGGGCTTTGACTAGATGACCTTTAAATCCTTTCCAACCCGAACTATTTTATGAATTTTAGATACCCTAAAGTATCTGTGATGTCCATACTGCCTACAGCCAGACTTGTATCCTTCTGCAGTGGCAGCTGGAGGACAGGTGGGCATCCTGTAGGGCATCTAAAAGGGCATTAAAAGGGCATTAGATGCTTGTTCGGGCAACTGGATCCTATTCTTTACATATTTTCCACCTGGAAAACATAAAGCAGTTGCCTTGGCAAAGTGACCAGACAGCCCCAGCTGCTGTTTCCTCACAAATACTGAAATGAAACATTTTAATGTATTAATTAGCTAAACTCCAAGCCAGAAACTTGGCCTTGATACAAATGCATATGACAAGCTAGTAAACACACATGTAGTTAAACTTCCTAATTAATGGAAACATAAAATGGAAGTAGGGTGGTTTCAAGCAATGCACTTGTCAAATATGTGATATGTTATTTTTAACACAAATTTCAACATTGAACCTGCTTCTCCCAGTGCCTAAGCAATTAAGGAGTAACAAAGGTAGGTGGCAAAGTGGGGTGTCTGGCAGGAAGAGCAACACATGTTGCAGGTTTCCAGGGAGGATATTGAATTATTTCAGTCTTTTATCCTCATTATACAACCAAGGTATAAAGATCTCTGGCAATAAGAAAAATTGCTAGAGAGTAGTCTTAAGTACTCTAGCCTTAGCCAAGGCTTTCAGCATTGTTTTGGAATTATTCTTTACTGTTTAAGCACAACTGTTGAGCGTCACTTCATCTTCTGCATTTGCCACACTTTCAGGAGTCTACCTCATGCAAGCTTTACCTTTTCTTGTGAGACTCTGCACTCCCCAATTCAAAGTTCATGAAAACCAAGGATAGATCAACTTGGCTTGACTTGTCATTACAATACTTAGCTGAAAGACTTTGAAGAATATAAATTCTGGAGTTGCTCACAGACACTTATTTTGATGCAGAATAAAACCTTATTGTTTTATAATTGTGGTCAAATTTTTTAAACCAACGTTATCATAAACACTTTGTATCACATAATCTGGGGAAGGAGTACTATGTTTTTGTGCCTTTTTCTGAATTGTTCTAAGTGCTGCAGAGTTGTACTAGTTTTGGGAATCTTGCCACTTTTTTGCTGGAAGCACTTTGCTTCTCACATTGCTTTTTGCAATAATCGGAGAGAATCTGTCCCATTGCACTCCCCAGTCGTGGCCACTGGTGACTGCATCTTGTTCCTGGCAGGGCTGCCATGGGCATGTGCTTTCCTGAGCTCACCATTGTGATAGGAGGTCTGTGAATTCAGAAGGAATTGCATTGCAAATATAAATGTTTGGATCTAGTTTCAGGCTTGCAACATGCGGCTGTACATCATGCACGATTTTGGTTTTGCTTGTTTTTCTTTGTCTGTGGTGCTCATCATGGTATGACCACTAGTTATCTGCTGTGTGTTTTAACTGTGTGTCTTGCTCCAGAAAGGCATAGTGGCTTTTTGTCTAACCTTCCTGTAAATACTTTTTTTTTCCTACCTCCCAACTTTTTTCTTTTCAATTTCTTGTTTTATCTTTTTACCAGAAGCTGTGGAAGAATGCTTTATTGAAATGAATCTTGACATTTCAGGGAGCAAGGATTTCAAACCACATCTTACTTTCCTAAAGCTCTCCAAAGCACCAAGGTTGAAAAGAAGGGTAAGTAACTGGGCTTAAAATATTTTTTTATTGGGATCAGTTCTAGTGATTATTTTCCTTCCAATGAAATTCTTGGGGACTATATACTTAAGCAATAATCATTGCAACTACAGAAAAATAAATTTTTATTATTTAACAAAGCTCGAATATAAGCTGGCCAATGCAGCTGTGTTTGCTCATATCTTACTGGAAGAGATGAGGTCTCTTGCTTATATTGTGTATGGCTCTATTGCAGAGTACAGAGTGCTTTCCTTCTGCTATGGCCAGTCAAATATGCACAAAAACACAATGTCAAGCTGTTTCCATAGGGCAGGATGGCTTCTGAGAAATATTTACCCGAGAACAAGATTAATGTCATGTCGGAAGCCAGGCTGGTGCCTTGATTTATACTAGAAATGTGCGATGTGTTTTTCTAACCTTTACTGCAGTATTGTAAGGGATTTTATCATATACAATTAAAGTAAAAAACAACTCTGATTAGATTGCTCATTTCCCAGTGGAATATTGTCCTGCTTGTTTCCAGGAATAGTACTTGTATTTATGAGGTCAATGTATTGCAAACCTGAAACACTAAAGGAGCATGCACAAAGAAAACAGAAAATGTTGTAATAGCTGAAGAAAATGACCTTGTGTTTGTGCACTTCAAGTACTTCATATTGACTTGATATTTGCCTTCTGTATACATGGTACAATCAAAGTTGGATAGTACTGATAGTTCTGTGCTGGAGGCTTTTTCTTTTATACTGCCTATGGGGAATTTCGTGAGTACAGGCATCAGCAATGTCTAATGCAAAAGTAAACATACAATAGGCATATAGGAATTACTGTTGACTTTTGTCCAGAGTATTTTCACACTTCCTTTTACTATCAGGTTTAAAGTAAAAAGCTAAATTGTAATTTCTTGCATGTTCTCCTCCTTCTTTGATATCTGGTGCTAAATATGGTATATATTCCTGCATAGTATGATTTATGTATACAATCTCCTTGCTCAAAAATAATAAATATGTAAGTGTACAGAGCTTTGAATGTTTGAATATCAAGTAAGTGGGGAGGCCAGAACTGGACCCAGCACTGAAGCCGTGGCCTCAGCAGTGCTGGGCAGAGAAGGACCACTTCGCTCAACCTGCTGGCAATACTCCTCTTAATGCAGCCCAGGATAGATGCCACTGACAGCCTTTGCTGCAAGGGCACATTGCTGGCTCATGGTCAGGTTGGTGTCCACCAGGATTTCCAGGGCCTTTTCTGCCAAGCTGCTTTACAGTCAGCCCTCAGCACGTTGTTCATCCCCAATGACAGGACTCTGCACTTCCCCTTGTTGAACCGCATGAGGTTCCTGTCAGCCCATTTCTTCAGCCTGTTGAGGTCCTTCAGGTGAACCAGCCACTCCTCCCAGTTTTGTCATCAGTGAAGTTGCTAAGGGTACAATCTGCCCCATCATCCAGACCACTAATGAAGATGCTGAACTGTACTGGACGTAGTATTGACCCCTGGGGTGCACCTCTAATTACCAGCCTCCAACTAGACTTTGCCACCAGTCGCTGTCCTCTGGACCTGTCTGTTCAGCCAGTTTTCAATCCACACCACTCTGTTCATCCAGCCTTCTCAGCTTCATCAGCTTCTCTATAAGGACCTTATGGGAAAACGGTGTCAAAAGCCTTCCTGAAGTCCAGGTAGACAATATTCACTGCTCTTCCCTTGTCTGCAAGCATTGCTCATTCCTGTCCAAATACGTTTGCACCTTAAAACAGTTGCTCCTTGAAATACTATTCTACGTATTGGGGCCGTGAAACCAAAGCGGAGCAGGGGTGTGTGTTAAGTTTGTTATTAGGGGGCATGTAGACTCTGTATGTCCATGTACAAATCTCCCTGAGGTTAGTAATGCTCAACCCTAGACATAGGATTTAACCTCAAAGGTTGAACTGGAAGGTTACTGTGTATGTATTTTGAGATCTGACATGCCAACTGAAAATACTGACATCTTACTCTGTCTCTTTCAAAATCAAAATGTAATGGGAAAAGAAAGGAGGAAACTGGCTATTTCTAGAATATCGAATTTCTGAAGACTGCAGGAGAGAAATCAGCCTTCCTAAATGCTAGAAGATGCCGAAGTATAAATAAGACAAAAATATTACTTCAGTTATTATGATGCCATCTACTGGCTATAATTACTTTCTTTATAGCATAAATAACTGCTTCCTTGTAGTAAGGATGCAGTGTAGGTACTTCCTGCATATAAGAAGGACTTAAGATGAAGCTTGTGAAATAATTGCTAACACTCACTGTTTATATTTTACATCTCAAGAATACTTTGTTAACAAGACAGGTATGTGACGATACTGGTGTGGAGTAGCTGCAGACCTTGCTCTTTTTGTGGGGAAGGAGGAGCTGGTTTTCTTTAAAAAAAAATCCACCACAACTGCAAACTTTGATCTCAGGAAATTGTGCGTCTTTGACTTTAGTTGTGTGTCTAAAGACCCCGAGAGGTTGGGGAGAGCTTGGCTTGTGTGCTATTTAGCTTGAATAGCTACCAAAGGAGCAGTATGCGCTGTTTGTCGATCAGGTTCAAAATATGTAGCGTGCCCCTGGGATAAATATAAAATATGGGTTCTTCAGGTTTTCTGACCTCTCTCTTTCCAATGAGCCGAAAGGGAGCAGTTCACCTCTTAAGAGAATCCACTTCAGTGTCTGTCTGTAGTAAGAGCCTTCTCCAGCACGCAGACTAAGAAGTGCTTTTGTCAGCATGGGTTGTTAGCCTCCAGTGCTGGGTGATGCCTGTGCTTGCCTATGCCTGAGCAAAGCTGTGGATCAAGTGCCTCCACACTAAAGCAGAAAATATTTGTTCTTGCTTTTTATGCTGCTTTAAGTGGATTCACTCAGTGCAGGTCTGCAAATAGCTATGGTCTACCCTGGGTGGCGAGAGAGCAGCAGTCCTGCAGTCACATACTTGTATTAAAATATTCGGAGGTTTTTAATGAAAGGGCAGCCCTAATCCTGCCCTCTTCTGGCTACTTGATAAGTTATCTCCAATGACATGACCTTACTCAAGTTTCCATCATCCTCCTGAATTACCCAGAAAACAGCCCATGCGCAGTGTACCTCTGCATTTCAGCAGAACTTGAACCTGGTGACATTAAGGTGATGCGTGGCTCTTGGCTACCAAACAGCCTGGCTCTTACTGACACATGGGTATCTCTGGGGCACAGGAAAAGGTGTGCAGTTTGTTTAGTTAAACTTTGAAGTGTTTTGGTCATCAGGGCAGCAGTGCCTAAAGGTTTGATGCATTTTGTTGTGAAGATATATTTATCTCTCTTTTGTCCAGGTGACATTGGCTGTTCTGGCCATCCTCCTGCAATCCCCATGCCATGACCCATTGCACGTCTGCCTGCTAAAAAAGCTGTCCTTACAAGGAAGGAAGCTTGTAAAGAGACTTTTTTTTGTCTTACATTGTGCACCCCTGTGCATTCCAGGGGCAGAGCTGAACAAACCGATTGAGACTTTGAGGCAATGTGCTGCGAGGGGCTCCTTGGAACCTTGTTAGCCCGCTTGCTCGTTAGGTTAAGAGAAGGCGGAGGCTATTCCTTGTTGCTTAATGATTCATCCGTCCTTCACTTCATGTCCATGTGTGCCCCTGGCATATGTGGTTTGTTGCAGGCTAAACGCCTTGTGGGTGCCCCTTATTTAAATTGGCAGCCTCTTGCTGGCTGAATTAAAGCCCTGGGGACTGTGGAACTGTTGGATTGCTGGCCCGTCCCTGGTGACACCCGTACAGAGGAGCCAGCGCTGCTGTGCCCAAACTAGTCAGGGGGAGAATGGCAAAGAAATTACTCAGACAGGAGACTGTTGATTTTAAACCTTGACAGTCCTAAATTACCGTGGTTTCTGAACATGTGCCTTGATTACGGCTGTGGAAGTTACTTTTTCTTAGTCTGAAATGAACATGTCAACATCTGAAAACACATCTATAAGAGTAAACACTTCCATTTATATGCCATGACCACTGTAGCATTTGGCCATTGGGATTCTAGCAGTGCTTGGTAGCTATCCGAGAGCTGCTGTGGTTTTCTTTTTCTTTTCTTCTGGCTTGCTGAAATGAGCTTGCTTTCACAATAAGTCACTGAGTTACATTTCTTTTGAACACTTCTTTGCTCACAGGGAAGAAGGTGCATGAGCTCTATTTCTAACCTGTCTCTAGCATGGAATTTAATTACTGTTGTGGAATGTGTACACCAAGGAGAGATTAATTTTTCAGTCTGCAAAGGTAGCGATGGGATGAAACTGAGCAAACTAAACTTTAGGTGAAATAAAGAAATCCCTCCTAAATGCAATTCAGGAGACTAGGAAATAGCTTCCCAGTGGATGTGATGACTGTGAACTTGCTTAAAATACCTAAAATTAGATGGATGCATTTGAATTACAGTGGGTTAAATTGATCTCTTTCTGTATCTTTGTTGGTATGTTTTAGTTTTCAGAAGGTGGGATAGGTGGAGAATTCAGCAAAAGCCAAACTTCCTATAACTTTAGTAATGGTTGATTTTTCTCAGTATCTACTTAGATACTACCAAATAAAGTTGATATTGCTATCCTAATGGGGGGTAACTGTTTTTCTTTGAGTTTTGTTAGGATAATACTTGATGCATCTTGAACCTTTCTAAAGAGCATGTTTTTTTGTCTGTTTGTATATATAACATACAGGTAATGTCACATTGCTCTTTCAATATTTAGGGCTTCAGGAAAATTTATTCGGATCTGTATAAAGAATACGAAGACAGCTACTTTGGCACAGAGGTCTTCACTCAAATTGATCTCTGTGCCATGCATAAGAAGAAGCAGGAATCTGGTTACTATTATTGCGAGTGTTCAATTAACGTGGGCTCCAGCAGTACAGAAGAGAGTAAAGAGCAAGAAATGCAGACAGAAGATGTGGGAGAAACAACCAGTGAAGACCTTCCAAATAGTGCTGCAAAGGCTGAAATAGAAGCAACTGCTGCAAGCTGTGAGCTTGCCTCATATTTAGTAGTAGCTGATGATAAGCCATCTGAAAATATTGCTGAGGCTTCAATTGCAAGTAAAGAAAAAGAAATTGATGAGGTGAAGGGACAGCCTGAAGCTACAGATGGGACTTTTCTTGCAGCTGGAGAGAACTGCTTGAAGTCAGTACTTGGTCTGCTGCCAGAAAGTTCAGATGCATTGAAAAGTGTGGAAAAGGAACAAGAAAAAGCAAAGATAACAGATGGTAGCCTGCAGAAAACTGAAGCAATAGAATATGCACCTGATCAGTTCACGATAAAGCTGTTGCAGTCCTCAGTGAACTGAACCCACACTTGGTGATGGAGAAGGCATGGTACTGAGCTGCACTGGGCTGATGTGGGAGGTGGGGATGGTGAATCTGTTTTTGGCAGAAAACAGTCCTTTTTAGGGGACTGACAAAACAGGCTAGAACAAAATCTGAGGGAAAGATCACTGAATAACGTAATGGTGAAATGCCTAGGTCTGAGCAAGAACCTATATTCAGGTGGGTGTGAGCATATGTACTGTAAAGACAAATGAGCTCTGGTTTACGGGATCAGGCCCTTCAAAAGTCATGCATTGATACCAGAGTTGTTGCCAGGCACCTCTGGTGCCCAAATGCACACTCCAACCTTCATTGTGTTTCTTCTTGCCTTGCTTCCCCCTGCTCTGTGCCTACAGCCCCAACTTTGCTCCTTCCATAGCCTGCCTGCCTTCTCCCCTGAGTGCTGCCTAAAGATGCTTCTTCTTGCCTAATCCCTACTCCTGCTCTGACTTCAGACTCCAGACCATGATTGCAGCACAATCATTCACTGCATCTCGATAAACAGTAGATGATTTTAGTTGTTAAGACACTTTTGTGACATTTGTGCTTTCCTACTAGACTAGTAGCTACTTAATGAGGAAAATTATTTTTTCTGACTTATGGAAAATAGTGGTTTTGGAATAATGAGGTATAACACTCGATTTTCTTTAGATAAAGACAATGAGAGGAAGAGGAATCCATAATGAATTCTTTTTGTCAAATGCCTTGAGAAGGAAACGAGGCACAAGAGCCTTTTCCTAAACCGAAGCTATGTTGTAGTCCCACATATATGCACGAGTTGGTAAAGAACCGGGTAAAACGGAACCGTATTCACTTCTGGCAGGAAGAGATGAAGGGTTTTGAACCATCGCTGGGCCTGAAGTTTCCTGGCGTGGCTGAAGCCAAGCAGCTG